TGCCCAGCCACCCCCAGCGCCCTCCTCTGTTCTTGTAGTCCGTCTCTTTGTTCCCACATAGTGCCGCCCTTGCCTGCCAGCCAGCCTTGAAGCCACTAAGCAAGCAACACACCAAAAACGGGTTTGGTGGGGCACCTGGGTGGTTCAGTCGGTTAGGCGTCTGATCCGTGATTTTGGCTCAGGTCATGATCTCTGGGTTGTGAGATCAAGCCCCACGCTGGGCTCCGGACTCAGCGGAGAGTCTGCTTGGGATTCTCTCTCTCCCTTTCCCCCACCACCTCCCCCCTCAAATAAATAAATCTTAAAAAAACAAAAGCAAGTGTTTGGTGCCCTAGGTCTTGGCCTCCCCAGGTGTATCCTAGTTTCCAGTATAGGATTTCAGCACAACACTGTACTGTGACAGACCTGGCCTTAATCACAACAGTCCCACTTCCAGGATTTTATCCGTTTGAGATCCTCTGGTGAAACATAGCCTATCTTCAAGTCACTTCCAAACCTTGTTGGTCAAGACTGTGGGTTCAGCATATGGTGATCAGGGATTTTTTTTTTTTAAGGAACGGTGGATTTAAAACTACCCTCGCCCGTGCGACCATAAGGGAATTGATGACATTTCTTATGCTGATTTAACTTGAAGGTAGATTCGAACACAGGGGTTCACCACTGTGATTAGAAAGGAACACAACTACCTGGACTGAACCATAGGAGGCACCTGTTTACCTGAGACACCACTTAATCACTCACCTGAGATGCCACTTAATCATCATTCTGCCCAATAGCTACTTACCTTGACTTGCTTGGGATGATGGCCGAGTACAGCTCATTCTCAGCATGACGGACAAAGGGCCTGGGAGATTAATGGGACAGGAGAAAGGAGAGCTGAGTTTACCTTAAACTCAGAGAGGACTCTTTCCAGGAGGAATATAAGAATTCCAGTTCTGAAAAATTGTGAAATCTGAGTCATCTCATCATCAGATTAATAAGGTCTGGGAATTGACTCATATTACACCCTCGATAGGGACTGACTGTCCAACCCATTTTTTATTTATAGATTGTCTAACAGTATGGGGCAGTGTCTTATTGAAACCAGCACTTCCTAGCTGGTAATAAAAATGCATTCCCCCAAAGGGTAACATCAGGCTTGGTTTGTACAAGCAGGACTGTCTCAGTGCCCTGGAATTCCCACTGAAAAGCTTTCAAGGCCCACAAGTGATACTTACATTGGGGTGGAGATGGGAGAAGAAAAAACTTGCCAAGGCCGAGTGAAGGTTGATTGCGTGTTTCCAGCAGCTGGTTCTTCTGAGGCTACTTAAAACTGTCAGTCACTTATCTGTGTCACCTGCCCAGCTCAGCATCCTGCCCTGCCAGCAGGGACCCTTTGAGTAAACATTTGTTGAAAGAGGAAGGTTGGAACACCTGCCATTAGGGTCGCCACTAGGGCCATGTCTAGTGATCCCGGAGAGGCTCAGCACATTTTGCGAGTACTCAGTCGGTGGTTGGGCAGAAAAGAGCCTTTGCCATCACTGCAGTTAAGGGTGTGGGGCAGAGACAGGCCCACGTGGTGCTGGGACAAGCAGACACTGACCTCGCCAGGAAGGCAGGAGAACTCACGGAGGAGGAGGTGGGATGGGTGATCGCCATTATACGGAATCCTTACAGGGTAAGATCCCAGACTGGTTCTTGAACGGACTAAAGCATGTCAAGCATGGAAAAAAATACAGCCAGGTCCTGGCCTATGGTCTGGACAACAAACTCCGGGAAGACCTGGAGCAACTGAAGAAGATTTGGGCTCACAGCGGGCTGCGCCACTCGTGGGGACATCGTGTCCGAGGCCAGCACACCAAGACCACAGGCTGCGGTGGCCGCACCGTGAGTGTGTCCAAGAAGAAATAAACCTTTAGGCCTTGTCTATTAGTAAATCAAGAGAGAGACAGAGGGAGAGAGAGAGAAAGGAAAAAAGAGGAAGTTTGTTCTTTTGGTTTGGTTTTTGTCTTGTTTTTTAGTTGACTCTTATGGTCAATGTCCCCGAAAGGCCTTGTCTTCTTGGTTATAAAAAAAAAAGAAAGACAAATACCTGGTTTCTTCTTTTTCATGACTTAAACAAGACCTGTTATTTCATCTCCCTTGCCGGTGAGTTCAGCTTTACTGACAGTAACTTTAAAGTTACAGAGGGAGGGCGCCTGGGTGGCTCAGGCGTTAAGCATCTCCCTTGGGCTGAGGTCACGATCCCAGGGTCCTGGGATCGAGCCCTGCATCGGGCTCCCTGCTCGGCGGGAAGCCTGCTTCTCCCTCTCCCGCTCCCCCTGCTTGTGTTCCCTCTCTCGCTGTGTCTCTCTCTGTCAAATAAATAAAATCTTTAAAAAAATAAAAAATAATAAAAAAATAAATAAAGTTATAGAGGGGCCTCGTAGAACCATCTCATCACCCTCCCACACCTGGCCGGTCTTTGCTGTTTGGATTCTATTATAGTTTCAGTCCGCTGCCACAACACCTCAGCGGGGAGGGGTGCTTGTGGGAGTGAGCTCTCCTGAGTTAGGAATTCACTTGCTTGAGTTTCCATAGCAGCTTTTTTTTTTTTTTAAAGATTTTATTTATTTGAGAGAGAGAGCACTAGCAGGGGGTGGGGAGGTGGGGGAGGGGCAGAGGGAGAAGCAGGCTCCCCGCTGAGCAGGGAGCCCCACATGGGGGGACGAGGGCTGGATCCCAGGACCCTGGGATCTTGACCCAAGCCAAGGACAGATGCTTAACCGACTGAGCCACCCAGGCGCCCCTGTGGCATCTTTAAGTCGACGAAACTCTAAAATTGAATGGGCCCCTCATGAATTTCACTTCCTCTGTGAGACACTGCAGAATGAATCGCACATCAGTCAACACGTGTAAATGACCACTAGGAGCATCAAATGCTGAGCTGAGCACCATGGAAAAACACAGACGTTCCCTGTTTGTAAGGAATTTAGTCTAGGAGGTGGATAAATAAGACATTTGCCCAGAGCTAGGGGTACCTTAGATCTGCCAGGCCATGTAGCAATAGGCCTGCTACCTCCAAACAGAGGGGCAGCTTTTGGTGAGTGCCTCTTGGGGGTAGGATCCTTTCTCAGTACGCAGAGGTGCTGTACAGGGTAGCAGCGGCTCTGGCTCGTGCATAAAATTCAGTAAATACATAAATAAATGCCAAGTGGATTATTGAGGGTCCATACACACTTATTCTCCCTACTTAAAGAGGGCCTCACAAGTGGATTACCGTCTGATGCTTTTGAAGAACTCGACTAATGTGTGTGTCTTAGGGAGGGTGGGTGGGCAGAGGTATGCTCTACAGCCCCTTAACCGTTCTATGAATTCAACTTGATGCTAAAATTAAATAGAACCCTCTATTTCAAACCAAAGCAGTGTTTTCCTGTTAATATTGCAAAGACTTCCATGTGCCTTTTGTCACATCACACAATTCAATTACGGACTGAGCTCTTCGAACGTACCTAAGTGCTTTTGAGTACTTTGAGAATTGAAGGAGTGGAAGGTGGGGGAATGCTGACTACAATGTAAGGGCATCCACTGTCTATAGGGATTGTTAACTGGCTACCTTGTCAGACACACTTGGTCTTGATTTTGACACTACTGCAGTCTTACTGGAATGGGCTGGAACTGGAACACACTGTGAAAAGTGACAAAACTCTTAAGTCTAAGCAAGCAACCACAAAGCCTCAACTAACCACTCACATTTCCTGCCCGTGCGGTCATGTGCAGGTGAAGACACCAGATGGTGGTAAATTAGGATTCAAAGTAGCCAAACTGTCATTGCAATGCTATCTTAATACGTTTTCCTTTATGTTCAGCCTCCCTGGAGCTCTCACATTCCCAGAAATGTGTCTTGTGAATTCTGTGCTTTGCAGGCTGGCACGGAAGAAGGTCTGGCCCATGTAAAACACCACATAATCTCCCTTCCCACCTTCCTCGCCCTCCTCTTTCTTTCCCAAATTGGAATTCGTGTCCCCGGTCTCCAAGATTGAGGGAGCTCAACTCCTGCATCCACCCCACCGGTTACCTCCATTTGTTAGTGGTGCCGTGTGCAAACCCTCCTAACTTGCTTTCCCCTCTAATCCTTCCTTCACCAAAGTCAGCCCTCGTTTTCTAAAAGCCTGTTTTTGATGATTAGATACCAGCACTCACCTAGACCCTGTGGTCAGTATAAAAATCACTAAGATCCTCACGCCGCCATGGAGCCCTCTCGCACTGAAGAGCTAATGAGGGGGCTAGATGGAAGGACAAGTGTTTGGGGGTGGGAGGTGGGTGGACGGCAGGGGAAAGGGAGGGTGTGAGGGTGGGTGTGCACCCAGAGGCCTCCTCGATGGACAGACCTAAGCTTGACAGATGCCGGTTCTGTGAACTTGGGCAAGGTGGATGATATCTGAGAGCCTCAAATTCCAGATCTCTGAAGAGGGGGTTGTCATAATTCCTACCCAGCCTGGGTGGCTGTGTAGATTAGAGACTGCAGACGGCTTAGAGAAGTGCTTGGTTAAAATACCAACAACCCAAAGTGGGAGCTATATATAACTACAACAGTGGGTGGTAAATGACACAAGAGAAATGCAAACAAAGGGGTGGGGGCTCGAAGCAGGAAGGCTCACACCTGGCAGAAGGCCACGCGTGAGCGTGTGTGCCGAGCACGTGTGTACACAGGCCCTCCCAGCCTCCGGGTGATCTGTCGCCCCAGCACGCAGCTAGCAGGGCAGAGCTGAGCTGTGCGCACACCTGGGAGCCACACAGTTCCCACAAAGTCGGACATTTAGCTGCCACAGCAGGCATGACCTGGAGCTCATGCCCTTGAGGGGCCAGCCGAGAGGCGGCAGAATGGAGATCTGGAAAGGGCACGGCCGTCCAGGTTGACTTCAGCCTGCTATGGGGATTGAACATCATTCCCTTCTCCAGAAAGCAAGGTGTTTTCATCGTTTTTCCTTCCACCCCCTTCCCTGGATGTCTAAGGCCAAGCGTTCTTCTCTCTTCTCCAGCTCAGAGGCTGAGAATGGTGTGGAGGAGAAAAAGAAGATCTGCAAGTCGCCAGCAATCCAGTCCCCAAGCCCGTCCAGCGAGGCCGAGTCCCCAGACCAGAAGAGAATCCTTTCCTTGCGGTGAGTCCTGGTGGTGACACTTTGTTCTTTGGGGCCTTTGGGGACGAGGGGTTGCTGGGAGGAGCCCGTGTTTCTAGGTTGGTGGTGGTGGTGAAGAGTCAGGATCTACTGTAGGCAAATAAAACCCCTGACCAAGAAGTGGGGTGCCTGTCTTTGAAGCTGAAGCTTGCCTTCCTGCCTCGTCTCTTGCTGGCAGCATCCTTCCTCCTCCCTGCCCCAGCCTACGGCAGAACATCTGCCCCTTTCTTCAGGGACGGCTCTTGCTACCTAAAGCCAGGACAGCCCCCTGTCTGGCACAGACCTTGGAAGCACCTGCAAAGGTGGCCAGGGAGCCCATGAGACCTGCCCAGGTGGGAGTGCCCGTTCCACCTGTGCGAGTGCTCACCTGCTGCCTTGCCTTCCCGGCAGCCCCCTGCCTGGGATCCTGGGCCAGGCTGTGCCTGTCTTGGGGGACTGCTGCTTCCTGGGGGCCGGTGCTGGGAGCCAGCAGCAGTCTGGTCATGAGCCCGAGCGGAGCCACGCTCCCCGGCACTCTCAGAGCCTCCACTTACATGCTTGCTTTCCCATGCAAGGAAGAAGTAGGAACTTCCCGTTGCCTTTTTTTTTTTTTTGCCCTGAAAAGAGAATGGCTATACCCATGGTCAGTTATGGGGCAGTGTGGCCAGGGGTCTGTACCGAGCGGTGGAGGGATTGCTCTCCTTTCTTCTCCCTGATCCTGGAACTGTCAGAACTGCACCTTTCGGGGTGTCCTGGCTTCTGCTGAAGGGTAATTAAGTAACTCCTGCCTTTCCCTTTCCTTCCTGGCTACCCAGCCCATTCCTTCTCTCCAAATCCTTACTTCATTCAAGACCAAGCGTAAGTCTCATCTCTCTCTCCCCCAGATTTTTCTTTTCTGTTGCTTCCAGTTCTCTCATCTTCGGTTCTGCATGGCTGGCTTGACACAGCTCACGTTCAACCCTCTTTTCTCTAGTTTCCTGTCCGCGCATCTCGCCGCACTCACCGCACGAGTCTCTGGGCAAAGGCACAAAGCATGTGGTTTCTTGAATCTTGCACCATTACTGGCCGGCTCCTGCGGGAGCCTGAAAAGGGTGCCTTGACTCCGCCTCCCCCAGGCTTGGGATGGGAATGACGCACCCAGCACCCACCGTGAGAGCGTGCTTGTTAACCGGCGCGGGCGGGGCCTCGGTGTAGTCGCAGAGAGCCCCACGCTGGCTTTACTGTTCTGCTCTGGCTGGCTGGAAATTCCCAATTTTTTAATAAGAGGCCCGGCATTTTCATTTTGCACTGGGCTTTCTGTCCAGCTCATAGTCACCTGTGAGAAACGAGAGTACCACAGCTCAGGAGGCACAAAGACGCGGCACTATGTAAATCAGCACCCCGTTCACAGAGCGCCGTGCTCTGCAGACAAGCCCATTCTGCTGTGGCTATTGAATCCATCAAGGGCACAGCTGCCCTCCTTTTCGCATTTGCTGACGGTCCTTCGAGAGCTCGTTGCCTTGGCAATTCCATTAACGTTTACAAACGTGAATCAGTAGAGGTGATTGAATCAGATCAGTGGATATTAGAAATAGGTAATTTGACATTTGTAAAAATAGTTTTATTTTTGAGTTCAGTGTTTACTCATAATTTCAAAGGAAAAAAAAGTGATTCCTAGAATTCAAGAGGAACTTATATCTGTGAATAGGGTCACTGGTCTGTAGCTAAATCCAAATCTTCACCTGTGGTTAGAGCAACATGGACCCAAACTGTTGGGGCTGGCAGGGGCCCGGAACATCAGATAGCCCGTCTTTTCACAGCTGGAGAGACCCAGAGTCTAAAATCTGACTTTAGTCATTTCTGTCTCTGAGTCATACCCTCATACCACCTGAATTACTCAAGATTCTTACATCTGCTTTGAACCAAACAGTAGTTTAAACTGAGCCTCTTTGTAAGGAATCATATTGTGGAATCATGGATTTCATGTGTCATTTCTCCCAATAATAATATAAAAAAAAAACCTACATAATTGTATCCTAAAACTTGGTCCTAGGTAGACCTCTAAAAAAATCACACATATATAGACCTCTAAAAATCACACATGCATTCCACTTTGAAATGATTCTGTGTGTCTGTAGGGCTGAAGACATGTGTAAATTCACATATGTACTCAAATGGAGAGCCAGGACCAGAATCATCTTAGAAACACACGCTGGAGCTCTGCCCTTACTAGAAAAAAGGAAGACTTCACTTGCAGACACATTCGTCATTTTTATCCTGATTTCACTTCTGTTTTCCCTACTCTGGGATGTTTTGTCTCTTTTCCTCATACCCACTTCCTGCTCATCTTCTGAGTCCCAGTGTATTAAACCCAAATTGTACTATTGATCTGATGGACTTAGTGCCTCTTTAGTTCCTCCTAAAACCCATGGTATGTATTATTTGGTGCTAAGTCTTGTACTGCCCTTTTAAAAAGTTGTTTGATGAATTCACAGGCTCCTTAAGGAAAAAGACTGTCTTGTGTGCCTCATGGCCTTTAATGCAATGCCCTCCTCAATTAACACATGTTAAATATTAATAGAATTCTGAGACAAAAATATTCTTTGATTGAACTATCGCTGTAGTTTTGTTTAATAATTTGCCTATACTACTCCTCTTTTATTGCTTAGAATACTTTTGAGATGGTATAATCTCCACAATTCAGTTGATATTTCTCCCTTCTACAAGTCCACATTTCTCTGCAGTTTGAAACTGTAGGCTGGTGAAACCATCCCGGTCTCCTCCACACTGTACTGTGTAAATGCTCCTAGAGTATTATGAGTGATCACTGAGGTGGAGAAAAAAACAAATGTCAGGTTTTCTCGTGAGATAGTATAACAATCAAGATTTATTACAATACAATTAATGAGTAGTGTACAAAATTCATCTTATCAATTCCCTGGATTCTCTTTCCTCAGGTCAAAATCCAGTTTTGATGGTGCCTCTTTAGCAAGCGATAAGAATGACTGTAAAACAGAAAGCAAAAATGAATCTAAGATGGACAGGAAAAAGTATTCGTCTTCCAGCCAGGTAACTTGGGAAGGCGGTGTGCGTCATGTCATGGCAGGGGCACTAAACCCAAATGTGCATCTTCTTGCTGGCCAGGACTCACATAGGCAGAGATGGCAGAGAATCTGGAAGAAAGAACAGGATGCAGTTCCTTCGGTTGATTTTTAATCAATATCGTTATTTCACCACTGACCTTTCAGTATATTCTGAGTGGTGGTGAGTTCCATGCCATAACCCCTAACTCTGACAAGGGCCCGGAGAGCAGGGACCCACACAGTCATGTGCTGGTCTAATAATTAGCCAAGACCAGGAGAGCTGTGATAGCCTTGCATTAAAATTAGAGTCTGATACGACACCCGTCTGAATAGAAGGCTACCCAGCTGCACACGGAGGGGGGAAACCCGTGAACAGGGTCATGATTCTCGTCCGGGAGTAGTTTAGTTCTGCTCTAAAACACACCCAGATGGGTGTCAAAGCCCAGTTCTGTGTCTTAGAGTGTGGCATACTTACTGGGGTCAATGGATTGAGGTGGTTATTGACACCTCACCCCTAAATACTTGAATACATGTTTCCCCTAAGAACTAGAACAAAAACCCACTGGGACACACAAGAAATATAACTAAATAGTAAATATACCAAAATATTATTAATGTAAAATCCATTTTGGATTTCCATAATTGTCCCAGTAGTGGATGCCTTTATAAATGTTTTTTGCTCCCCTATCTCTAGAATCCAGTCAGGAGGCACGTATTACATTTATCTGTCGCTTTTAATATAGATCATTCCCACCACCCCCCCCCCTTTTTTTTTTTGCGTTTTACGTTCACATTTTTGAAGACTCCATGTTCTAGGTTTTTTGTATTATGGATTTTTTTTTTCTTTTGGGCCCAGGTTTGTTGTTGTTGTTGTTGTTTTAAGATTATTTGTCAGATAGAGAGAATATAAGCGAGGGAGGGGCAGATGCAGAGGGAGAAGCAGGCTCCCTGCTGAGCAAGGAGCCCCATGTGGGACTCAATCCCAGGACCCTGGGATCATGACCTGAGCCAAAGGCAGACGCTCAACTGACTGAACCACCCAGGCGTCTCTGGCCCAGGTTATTTTTAAATCAAGTTATGCAGCTGATTCTCACTGTAGCCATTAAAAACAAAACAAAACAAAAAACAAATCTCAGGAAAGCGCCCCTGGAATACCTAGCTTTAATCCAGGTAACGTTCTAGATGCAAACTGTACTTTTAGGAAGCAGCATGAGGTGGCCTACTTTACATGAGGTGTTTATAAAATAGCTGACTCATGGGGACCACCTTTCATCTGCAGACTTCTCTAAACTCTTCCTTAGAGCAATACTAGGGCCGGTCCTGCCATTGAGACCACTCCCAGTTTGGATAATAAAACATGAAGGGCCTGCTTGTACTCTCTCTGTTCTGCTCACAAGACCTTTTTTTTTTTTTTTTTAATCAAAAGCATCCTGTCAGGCAGAGGTCCAGTGGAAGGAGGACCAGTTCTACCTCTTAGCTGTGTGGTACCAGTTCAGTGACTCAGTTTCCCTGAGGCACACTGTCCAGACCCATGGAATGGGAACATCAGCTCCCCAGGTTATTTTGGGGATGGTGTTTGTGAAGGCAGGTTACCAGATAGAAATTGCTGGCTGTCCATTGTTGTTGTTACAGCTGTGTAAACACATGCCTTCTACCGCCCTAGAGAGTTATCTCCCCCTGACACTGGCTAAGGAAATGCCCTTACAACAAAAGTAGTGGGAGTGACAATACCAGGTGGTGGGTCTTTCGGATGAATTGTCCCATTTAAGCCTTATGGCAGCCCTCTGAGGCAGGGAGTGTATTTGCCCTCAGGCACAGAAGAAGAATCTGAGGCTCAGCAAGGTTCCCTCACTTGGCCACAATCACACACCCAGGGAGGGGTGTAGCCAAGACTTGAACTCAGGTTGATCTGACCCTTTAACCACTGCCCTCCTCTGAGAGTCCTTGTTATCTGTAGTGACCTGGGATCTCCTGCCTTCTTTGGTGAGATCCCTTGGAGCTTCATGTCATTTTTTATTAGGGACACCCTTGTCGAGCCTCCTGGGCAGAACGGTGACCACCAGCTGCAGCATGGTCACAGATGTCTGTCCAACTGGCAAGTCACTAATCTTGTTGGAAAATGAAACCTTTGTGCTGTGCCCACTCTGAAGGCTTGTGTTGAAGACTAAGATCAGACAGAAGGAATTCCTAAAGAGACTGTATCAAGGGAGGGGAAATTTGTTAGGTAATTTATTTATTCTAAAATTTATTTATTAGAGAGAGAGAGAGCGGGGCAGGGGCAGAGGCAGAGGGAGAGAGAATCCACAAGCAGACTCCCCGATGAATGCGGAGCCCGCCATGGGGCTCGATCCTAGGACCCTGAGATCATGACCTGAGCGGAAATCAAGAATCGGACTCTTAACGGGCTGAGCCACCCAGGCGCCCCTTGTTATGTAATTTAAATTGAAGTTCAGATTTACGACGTTTCACCAGGAAATGCGAGCAGTAACGCCTGTGTTGTGTTCTCACCGTAGTACAAGGCGAATATGCACTTCCACAAGTTGTTCCTTGATGTCCCAACTGAGGAACCACTGAGGCAAAGTAAGTTCCGGCCTGTCTGACTTATTTGACAAGATGCTAATTGGTTTGGGGGAAGAAAGTGGGCTCCGTCTGGGGGCTGAAGCACCCAGGCGAACAGGTCTTTTGAAAGTTACTATGTAACGGGTGTGCCAGCTTCATTCAGCTGTCACCCAGCTCCTTGAAGGAGAGTAGAAGGGGAAACCGAATCCCTCCCCATGACAGGGAACCCTCCAAGGTGATTCCGGAATGATCTCCTCACCTTCTGTATTGACTGCTGCAATGCACTGTGTGTGGGTTGTCCTGAGATTTGGGTAACAAGACTGGAGGAAGAGGGGCCGCTGAAAGAAGGCTGAAAGGAAACACAGATCCTAGTGCACAGACGTGTGTCCAACCCTATACGATGCGGGGCACTGTGATCACCCCCAGACATCCTGCCCGGCACGCCAGTGAAGACCTCCTCGGCTCCTCTTAGGTTCATTAGGACCAGGGTTCCATTGTGGCCTCTCCGTGTACCCATGTTAAGCAGGAGGCTGGATTCCTGCCATGATGCCCAAACATGGGGGTCACATGCTCTTCCCACACTGAGGCCATCAATTTCAAAAGGAGTCATTAGTGACAGTCCCAGGGAAGGAGGGGCAGGAGTGCCACCACTAGCTCAAGGTGGCACACCTTCCTCAACAGAGATTTTGAAACTCCATTCTGGAACTCTCGTTTGCAGTGATAGACTTGCCTGGCCATTTTGACTTTCATACTAAGGCATGTAAAGACTTTGAATTAAAAAACAAACTCTCATCCCCATATGCCACGAAAGATGGCTGACAAACAGGTGAAAGATCTTTTGAGTATGAGTGTATTATCTCTGCCAATCCTGGGGAACCAACATATTTACATAATTTCCATTTCATATGGAAATTCTAAGTGCTCTTATACCTGTGTCTGTTTTCCCAGGTTTTACCTGTGCTCTACAGAAAGAGATATTATACCAGGGGAAGCTCTTTGTATCAGAAAACTGGATTTGTTTCCATTCCAAGGTCTTTGGAAAAGACACTAAGGTTGGTATAATTTTTAAAAAGGAAGCTATGCACTTTATCATATGTTGTGAATATCAATTGTTTTAAGCGTAGCAATGTTGATAAAAGTTTACTCTTATTAGACCTTTCTATCTTTATTGCCTTTATCATGGTTCCAAATATTACAGGTTCTAAATGCCTCTAAATGACACTAACTTCCCTTTTTTCCTAAAGACCACTCTCTGTTTATTTCCTTATGTAGATAGATCTCTCCCACAGCTGTTCAGGAGGATAGCCCAGAGGAACTGGCAGTTTTCCCAAGCCACTGCCTTCCAAAGCAAGGACCCTGGGACTGTGTCATAAGAAGGAAAAAGATAATTCCATTCCACTGACATTCTTTCCCTTTGTCCTCCAATGTCACACCGCAGTTCATTCAGGCCACCAGAACAAGGAGTCCGAGAAGGTCCTTCTTAGGTTCGTGTGACCTAACGAGTTCTTAATCCTTCTGATTCCTGATTATGAATAAGCAGCTTTTATATTCATGAAGTCGTTGACTGAAAACTTTTTGTTTTGAGTGGTAGTTATGTTTTATTTAAATATTCTCCCTAAAGCCCCTGGCAATCTTTTAGATAATGACTATGTAACAAATACAATGGAAATTCTTGACTTTGTTGGTGTTGGGTCAGCCGACTAGCACACTGTTCTTTAGGTCAGACATGTTATTTTAATGTTGTTTTGTAATTATGTAGAGTTGTGTTTAGACAAACATATTTTGATAAATAGTATCACCGGAATCAGTATAATGCAAAGCAATGTTAAGCAGTATTCCACTGTATTTCTAGATTTCTCAGTTACAAGAACTTGTTCATGGAATAGGAAAGGGGTTGGGTAGAAGGGATCTCCAGTTCAGTGTGATAAGATAATTCTCAGGAATTTAGAGCCAACGCCTCTGACCAAAGCAGCAGGGTTGGAGATATTAGTGAATGAAGAATGAGTCTTTGTTAAGGGATGGGGGAATTCCAAAACTCAGTAAGTATATTTTGAAGCCAATATGATTCTAGCAATGGTTTTAAAATCTAACATCTACCTAAGAAAGAACTGACCAGACAGAAAAAGGGAAAAGGAGTGGCATTAACACACTGGTTTTCTAAAGACCTAACATGGCGGGTCTTGGTAGACCTTACTTTTTTCCCCCCAAAGTTATCCCAGTGTATAACTTCTGAGTTACCTCCTACACTTCAACATTTGGGGCAGTAGAGTTCTTTGGCAGTTTTAGGAAATGTCTTATTAAGATCAGCCCCTCATTCTTCCCTGGTCTTCCCATCTGGAACTTGGAGGGGCAGTCATTTTACCGTGGATGTGTGTGACTCTGTTTTCCAGGATCAAAGTTGATACGATCCTTTTCTCTTTGAAACCAGACTGGCTTGGGGAGATATAACAAAACTATTGGAACATCTATTCTTCATGTTATCTGGTACATGCTTGTAATACATTGTATGAAAAAGAACCCACATTTTGGATTGGATTGGTTCAAATTCCATTGTTGTAACCTATTATTTTTATGACCTTGGACGAGCACCTACCTCTCTGAACACGTCCTAATTTCTTAGAATATGTACTTCATAAGACTGTCCTAATTAAATGACATTCTCATCTGTTGTAATTCTCTATTGTTTGAACCAGAAAATAAAGTTAGAGTTCATTTCATCCATCCTCTTATGAGACGAATGAGGAAATAAATGACTTTTTTTTTTTTTTTTAATATGGAACACTTCACGGGCACCTGGGTGGCTCAGTCATTAAGCGTCTGCCTTCGGCTCAGGTCATGATCCCAGGGTCCTGGGATCAAGCCCCGCATCGGGCTCCCTGCTCCGTGGGAAGCCTGCTTCTCCATCTCCCACTCCCCCTGCTTGTGTTCCCTCTCTCGCTGTGTCTCTGTCAAATAAATAAATAAAATCTTTAAAAAATATATATATATGGAACACTTCATGAATTTGCACTCATCCTTTTGCAGGGCCCTGCTAATCTTCTCTGTATCATTCTAATTTTAGTATATGTCCTGCCAAAGTAAGCACAATACATCACTTTCTTAATGAGTGCTAGGCATTTTCCATATATTACCTCACTTAATCCACAGAAAATCCTGGGAAGCAGGGCAGATTATCTCCATTTTACAAATCAGGAAACAGGCTTAGAAAGGGTAGCTTGTAAGGTCGAGTAGGTCGCGTAGAGTGGACCGTGAAAAGTAAAACAGCCACTTGTTTTATCAGCAAAACGGGTTTATTCAGGAATAGAGAAATCACAGTTTGAGCCATGCAAGCCACAGCAAACCGTAGGCAAACCATAGGCAAGTCGAGATCGAAGGAGAGAAATGTTAAATTACAGAGAAAAGAAGGAAGTTGGGAGCAGTTGCTTTAGACAAAAGTCCATTGGAGAGAAGTGAGTGTTCAGGCCTTCTCATTGACTGAGCTTGTTGCTGGGCAAGGAGAAATCCTTCCTTCCTCCTGCTGGGGTGGGTAGTCAAGTGGGCTTATTCCTGTTGGAGTCTGCAACTGAGGAGCAGAGGTGGTGCCTGAGAGCGCCCCCTCCTGGCCTCCAGGCTGCATTTTAATTAATTAATTTTTTTAGATGAAGAGGTTTTTTTGTTTTGTTTTTTAAGATCTTATTTTTATTTGACAGAGACACAGCGAGAGAAGGAACACAAGCAGGGGGAGCGGGAGAGGGAGAAGCAGGCTTCCTACCGGGCAGGGAGCCCAATGTGGGTCTCGATCCCAGGACCCTGAGACCATGACCTGAGCCGAAGGCAGACGCTTAACGACTGAGCCACCCAGGCGCCCCTCCAGGCTGTATTTTAAATGAGGTTTCCTTTATTCAGTGTCATGAAAGTAACATAGCGGAGAATTGAGGTCCCAGACTGTCCAGTAGTGTGGTTCCACGATGCTGTGCTAGTCAAGGTTTTCCCTGCCCGCACGTGCCTAAGGGTAGAGGAGAGCCGGAAGTGTGCGGAGATTAGCCCTAAGTGGATGACCACAAGCACACAATTTCTTTAGAGCCCTGGGCCTATCTTTAAGATGACTGTGCATTTTGCATTCATTCCCTTATCTCAAGACAAAGGTTTCTTGTCCAGCCCTCGAGTAGAATTAATGATGCAGATTTACCCTCTGGCTTTGTAAACAGAACTTTGAGGAGACTCGCTTTTCATCCTGAAGGCTGGAGAGCTCCCTGGTGGTTTTGATTTCTTTGTTAAACTTTAAAAAAAATTTTTTTACCTTCAACATAAAGATTTGAAGTCGTGTTCACTGAAGCCTGAACCAGTTTTAACTGATTCTGTTTCAGATCTCTATTCCGGCGTTCTCTGTCACCCTAATAAAGAAAACCAAAACTGCCCTCCTGGTGCCAAATGCCCTGATTATAGCGACAGTCACAGACCGGGTGAGTAGGCCTTGGAGCGAGGCACCTTTGCTTTGTCCTGTTTGTATATTGTTTCCCCTCACAAGGTGCTTTATTCTAATATAATTGTTGACAGGTTTGATTTTCCTGCTGACTTAATTCTACTTGCTTGACCAAGGTCGAAAACATAAAATTCTTTCCCAACTTCCCTTTCCCTAATATCTCTTAGAAGAGGCTAAGCTGATATATTGAGTTTCTTTAATATTTAAAACAGCCACAGCCACCACATGGTTGAGGGGGTGAGGTAGGCTGAGACGGAAGAGTCCCTGGGGTGGGGTGGCCACCCTCCCCAGAACCTTACTTGGTCCCTCTCGAGAGCCGTCCCAGATACGTCAACCCGGTGCTTGCCCATGCACGGTCAGCTTCAGAACCTTTGCTTCCAGGTTGCTTCAAGTACTGTTCTGTATAGAAATTCTAGAGCTACTCCTGACTCGGGCTGCCCCACACACTTGCAACGAGAAATATTTGCATTGAGAGTGCTGTTCATTTCAGTTTGGCCAGAAAGAGGGAGTGGAATAGTTCACCTACTCATTTCTCACTTGAAATTATTTTTTTAAGATTTTACCTACTATTTCAATGAAAGTAAAAAAGCTGCATTCCATTTCTAACCCTACTGCGTAACTTGAAGAGGGAAGGTAGGTGGAGAAAAGACAAAAGAGCCTAATCTGATGAGGTGGGAAATAGGTTAATATTTTGAAAAAAAAAAAAGTTTTAATATTAATGGCTAACAAGCATTAAGTACTTCTCGTCAGGCATACGCTAAATGCTTTCCTTCTGTTTTTACATTGATTCCACACTGCCATCTAGGAGGGGTAGGTGTTAAAACTGGAGCCAAGGATCGCTTGAGTGTCAGACTCTTGATTTGGGCTCAGGTCACGATCTCAGGGTCGTGGGATTGAGCCCCGCACTGGGCTCCGCAGTCAGCACGAAGTCGGCTTGAGATTCTCTCTCTCCCTCTGCCCCCCGCCATCCGCATACTCTGTGTAAATAAATAAATAAAATCTTCAAAAGAAAAGAAAAAGTGAAGCCAAGAGGGGTAGCAGTCTGCCCAGTACCCTCTTGTAAGCAGCAGAGCCAGACCTAGCAACTAGGTCTAACGGCAGAATCCACAGTGTTAACTCCTTTGGAATACGTGCTTGCTGGGAAAGCCTATCAAGTGCTCTCATAGATGAGTGAAAGGGATAATCACAAACTTCTGGAAAGGGGCTCTGAAAAGATTCTGTGGCCCGAACAGACGGAGGAAGACTGAGTTTTAGTATTTTCTTAACATACTGTTCTTGGTAAAATCGTTTTCCTTTATGTCCTGTGTCTCCAAATTCCTTGTCTCATCTGATCTCACTTCTTTCCCATCGCTTATGTATATGCATCCACTAGAAAATCTCCGTATTTGTACAAGGGAGAATCTGGAAGCGGCTTGAAAAAGAACAAGCCTGTGAGAGCCTCTGGGAAATTGTTAATGGAAATCTAGGTCAGAACAGAGAGGACCCTTGGGAATTATTAAGTACCTTAAAAGAAAGGGGGTGGGGGAACAGGCTTTAAAGAGGATCTAGCAAATATCACTAGCCTTTTTTTTTATTATCATTATTATTATTTTTAAGCCTGCCTGCGCATGTTTGGGGCATCCGTGTCAGAGTCTTCATATTGCTCTCTGTTGCTTTATTACTTAAATGAGGTTTGATGGTTTTGTTGCTGTTGTGGGGGAAGAGGTTTGGTTTATTACAGAAATGGAATAAAAAAAATGTGTGGGTGAATGAGACTGTAGACCAAAGAACAGCCTCCATCATTTAAAAAGGAAAAAAATTATATACAGATAAATTTTTTGCACTCTGAACCCTCACACCTTTCCAGGCAGTATCTGTTAATAATGACTCTGTCTTGTTTTTCAGTACATATTTGTCTCCCTACTCTCCAGAGATTCTACTTACAAGCTACTAAAATCTGTGTGTGGACACTTAGAAGTGAGTACAACATTCCTGAGCCTCGGTTGCTGTCTCTCTTTTCTATTTCCTCTGGTTTCCTAGTTGATCTGGTTTTTCATTTTGTTTCATTAATTTCAGAACACGAGCGTCGGGAACAGTCCCAACCCATCTTCTCTTGAAAACAGTTTCCGGGCAGACCGTCCTTCATCTCTGCCTCTGGTGAGTTGCCTGCGTAACTATCTAAATCCCACCGAAAGGGCGTGTGTCCCACAATGACACTTCTCCTTACACCAGGATCAGGGGATGGAAGGAGTGTAGACCTTAATATCTGAGGTAAAATGTGAAGACACAGGGCATTTCTGTGCTGAAGAAAAGGGGGGACATAGGAGGCTATAAACTTTTTTCAAGTAACTAAAGAGCTGTCCTCCGAAAGAAACAGTATAGTGGACTGTCTGGGCGAGTGAGTGGTCAGTGGAGGTGTTTGTAAAATCTTGCTGTCTTTGCTTGTCAGTGGTGTTTTAGAGGGATTCACCAGTCTCTTAGGGTAGGGGCATGATGCATCCCCACAAATCGTTGATTGTCTTCTTTGTTCCAGGCACCGTGCTAGTGTATGCTGTAAGGATACCAAGAAAAATCAAAACTAGTTCTTGCCTTTGAAGACTTTACAGCTTAGTAGAAAAGATGAGGAACATCCAGAAATAATTGTAAAAGAACTCTGTAGTGACCAAGTGAAAGAGGTTTTTTTTTTTTTTCCCTTTAGATTTCATTGACTATATAGTAAATCTCCAGTGGAAAGTAATTCCCCCCATTTGTACAAGATTTATGCCTATGATGGTATAATGTTGGCCCAAGAGAGTCCTTGCCATATTTATTCAAGTGCTTATTCCCAAAATGATTAGTTAAATGTTGGAATACCTTGAGTGCAATGGTATGAGCCCATGGTTTTCACATCTCCAAATCTTTCTTTTTGAGAGCTGTCAAATAGTACAGGGATTGAAAACTTGTACACATAAAAAGTTGTCCAAGAATGTTCATAGCTGGGACGCCTGGGTGGCTTAGTCGGGTAAGCATCTGCCTTCAGCTCAGTTCGTGATCTCGTGGTCCCAGGATCAAGTCCCACGTTGGGCTCCCTGCTCTAGCAGGGAGTCTGCTTCTCCCTCTCCCTCCCCGAGCCCTCTCTTTCTCGCTCTATCTCAGATGAATGGATAAAATCTTCAAAAAAAGAATGTTCACAGCTGCACTGTTCGTAATAGCCTAAAAATGGAAACAATTCTAACGTCCATCATCTGCTGAATGATCAATAAAATGTAGTATGTCCATACAGTAGAACATAAAGGAAGGAGTACTGACACATACAACATGGAAGAACCTTGAAAACACGATGCTAAGCAAAAGAAGGCAGACACAAAAAGCCACATATGGTATGATTCCATTTATACGAAATGTCCCAAACAGACAAACTGACAGGAAAAGTAGATTAGTGGTTGCTGAGGGATGGGGGAAGGAGATATTAGGAGTGGCTACTATTAGGTAAAGGGTTTCACTTTGGGGGTGGTGGAAATGTTCTGAAATAAGCTGCTTGATGTTGTGATTATTCTAAAAACCACTAAATTATATGCTTTGAATGATGACTTTTATATTACATAAATTTTTATCTCAACTAAAAAAAAAAAAAACACCTGGTGGGGGGGGGAGGAGTGGGAAGTAGTACAAAATAAAAGCCAACACATATGATTTGTAATCCAACAAACTTGGTTTCAAATCTGGGTTCCACCCAGCTGAGTTATGCCATCAGACAAGCTCTCTGACTGCTCTGACTCAGTTTCTTCATCCAGCAAAATGCCAACCTCATGATGCGGGGGTGAAGATTAAGTGCAGTCATCTGTCTAACGAGCTCTGCATACTGCCTGATACATGATAGGCAGTCAATAATTATTAAATCGAAGAGACTTGAATTCTTCAACTTTCTATCCCCTATATATTCTTGCATGAAAATGAAATGAATTATTGAAATGATCCAAAGAGAGCTAGTACAAGACACCTGTTCTTAAGACACCGGTTCTTAAGCATTTGGGGGATATAAAGTAAAACATCCCTGCTTTTTCCCTACTGCTCACCCCTCTATCCTCCCTCTATAATTCAAAAGTGATAGCACAGACTCTCTTTTGATTTGGTTGAGGGGGGGAAGAAAAGCTAAAAATTTGCTTTCAGTGTCTAATTTGTTAAAGCCATTTTTTCTTTCATTTCCAATACTTTTTTTAAAAAGATTTTATTTATTTATTTATTTGAGAGAGAGAATGAGAGAGAGAGAGAGAGCATGAGAGGGGGGAGGGTCAGAGGGAGAAGCAGACTCCCCGCTGAGCAGGGAGCCTGATGCGGGACTCGATCCCGGGACTCCAGGATCATGACCTGAGCCGAAGGCAGTCGCTTAACCAACTGAGCCACCCAGGCGCCCTTTTTTTTTTTTTTAAGATTTTATTTATTTATTTATTTGAGAGAGAGAATGGGGGAGAGAGAGAGAGAGAGCATGAGAGGGGGGAGGGTCAGAGGGAGAAGCAGACTCACCGCTGAGCAGGGAGCCCGATGCGGGGATTCGATCCCGGGAGTCCGGGATCATGACCTGAGCTGAAGGCAGTCGCTTAACCAACTGAGCCAGCCCAATACCTTTTTTTAAACTATGATTTAAAGGATACCTTCACATTTAGAACATGGATTTAGAAAACTGTGCGTCTCTTTTTTTCTCGTATACATCTGCGTCATTCACTTTTTCTCATGACAGAGTGCTAATGAGACTTTTCCAGTTTGACTCTGGAAACTTTTCAATCATCAGCAGTTCTTTCTCTAGACATTTGTTGTTTCAAACAAGTTGGCCACTGCTGACAGGATTTTAACTGCCCAGAAAAATCTGTTTCGGTCATCAGATACTCTGATCTGTTGGGGAAATCCCAGCGGTAGGGAATAATCCTCCCTTCTCTTTCAGTATTTTATAGGTGAGGCCTAAGTGAAAGGGCTGGGGGTTACAGAGGCCTGTCTGTTTACTGAGGGGAATTGGACTCTGTACACTTCCTTGTTTCCCTTCAGGATTTCAACGATGAATTCTCAGATCTGGATGGAGTGGTTCGACAAAGAAGGCAAGACATGGAAGGATACAGCAGCTCTGGGTCTCAGACTCCTGAATCTGAGAACTCGCGAGGTCTGAGAAATTTCTGTATGTTAACCAAAATGTAATGCTCCACCAAACATCCTCATCTCCCCCCCTTTAAAACAAAAACACCACCAACAAAAACCACCTTGTCAAGTAATTAAGGGACTAATTAGCAATTAATTAACAATTGAGAAGGGACTCTGGAGAAAGGGTAGTTCGAAAGTTTTAGGGAAAGGAAGTGTCTCCATGGTAAAAATCCATTTCTTTGTACACATTTAATAAATGTCTCTTAAATTGACACAATATTAGAGTGGTTGAAAAACACAAAATGTCTTTTTTACCTCTTCTTTCAGTCATATTATTCACTGTTCTAGCTGAACGGTCCCCATGAGTCAGTGGGCTAAGGACAGACTGTCATACAATTTTCTGACTTCTTTAAGCATTGAATTTCAATACCTAACCATTAAACCAACATGTGAGAAGATCCATTTATATTCTCAGCCATTATGCATGTTGTGAGATTGATTTGCTCCGTTGGCTGATGCTGTGTTTTTAAATGCATTGGGAAGAAAACTTAGCCAGCCCCATTTTGGCTTGACAGATTTCCATGTGACAGAATCCCAGACAGTTCTGAATGTCTCCAAGGGAGAAACAAAACCAACTCGGGCAGATGCCCATGTGAATAGAGTGCCTGAAGGAAAAGCCAAGAATCTCCCTGTACATGGTAAGGAACAGAATGTCTTGGGTAAAGGGGGTGGTGGCGGTCATCTGCTTGTAACTTTTAAAGGGCCGTCAGATGTCAGGGGCGCCTGGGTGGCTCAGTTGGTTAAGCAGCCCACTCTTGGTTCTGGCTCAGGTCATGGTCTCAGGGTCCTGGGATCAATCCCTGCATCGCGCTCCCTGCTCTGTGGGGAGTCTACTTCTCCCTCTCCCTCTGCCCCTCCCTGTACTAGTGCTCTCTCTCTCTCACTAAAGAAATAAAATCTTCAATAAAAAATAAAAGGCCCTCATTATTTCACTTTATGACTGCCTTTCATATCCCCTCCCTTCTTGCTGTAGGTCTTTGTTCTGCGCATATTAATTTATGTACTCATTCACCAAACGGTATCCAGTTCTGTGCTTTATTGTGAGGGATACAAAGGTGAATAGCCTTCCTGGAGGTCCCTTCAGTATTTTTAGTATTTTGAGAATGTTATTCAAAAATTGGTGATAAAACTCAAATTATTAAATTACTGCTTATTTAGTAAGTATTCTAATAGCTGTTTACCAATTATACTGATATGAGAGCAAGGGTAGACACCGGGAAGGCTTCAGGCAATGTTTTCCTCAATGTCTATTATCCGGGAATCATTACCTCTTTCAAGGACCTCTTCCCCATAGGGACTTTGCTGGATGAAGGAGGTGTGCTGTGGTTTTAAAACTGTCTTGTTTTTTTGTTTCTTTCCCCACAACAGGTCAGTCAGAAACCACTGGAGTCTTACACAAGGTCAGGTCTCAGACATGTACGACTCTCCACCATATTCTTATATTTTACGCAATCATGTAAGTAGATGAATTTACTATGAGTGACTTAAAATCATTCATTTCTCTAAAAGAATAATCTCACAGTTCCCAGAGTCACTGTAAATCTCAGTTGTCGCAGGTGACCCACATCTTTCCTTTTACAATTTTTATCTCCTATTCCAGCATTTTGTTTTCCTTAGGCTTAGGTCACACTTTCCTATTCATCCCCTTATTTAAATAAACAGAAGGGAGGAGGGAAGACCAAATTGGGTCAATTCCAGCAGAGGACTACATTCCGAGTGGGTACTATTAGTAAGAACATTGTTCTGTGGATGATGAAGCATCTTTAGCCTCACTATTTATTTTCTCATCTACCCCATGTTCTCCGGATGGAGACCAAAACAACGTCAAAATGCCATCATCCCTTTAACTGTGAACACTCAGGCATAGACTTTAAGACATTTCCCCTCAGCTTCCAGCCTTTAACCAGCTGTTTTTCTGAAAATAGGCTGGCCCGGTTCTAGGCTGTTCCTTACTACCAAGGAGGATGTGCCCAGTTTTGTTTGCAGACAAAGAAGGGGGCCTGTGAAGACTGGGCACTCAGTGGCCAGGCCCTCGTAGGAAGGGCCACGGCACCACGGGGGAGAGGGAGCACAGCTTTGTCATCCACCTTGGGCAAGGCCTCGCGGGACCCTAGTAGAATGGCCATTGTTTGTGAGTTGAGGAACCTGGGCCAGAAGATTTTAAATCCTGTTCTAGCTCTCAAGTTGTTGACAAGCATCAGCCTGTTGAAAAAAGACCTTTTTCAAGTCTCTGTGGCAAGTTAATTTTGGAGAATATCTTGCCTTAAAGGTACAACACTGGCTCTGAGTTGATGGTTTCGTGTCAGTTCATGAGCCTATTGAGAATTTCTCTTTTATCCCTCTGCAGTGTCTGTGCACTAATCATCTCGACGTTCTACATGAGGTACAGAATTAATACTCTGGAGGAGAGGCTGGGGTCGCTAACTTCCATTGTGGACACTCATCATCACGAGTAAGACGATTCCCTCCTGTGCTGTCATCTGCTTGCTACTGAGACTAGTGTAATGTTGGGCGCTTACCATCCTTCTTAGCAAACATGAGTCGAGGTTACGTTCTGTATGAGACATTCTGTTAAGCCTATCTGTGGGAAGTAAAGGGGTGGGTGGGAGGGTCCTAGAGATGAATGCCCTGACTCTGAACTGTTCTTGCTAGAGTGTTGCCAGTTTATCAAGAAACAAGCCTGATTTTACATTATCTTGTTCTGGTAGCCTAAGACTCAGTTGTGACCTTGGCCCATTTATTAAAATATACCAGTTTATCTTAGTAAAATGGCAGTAGGTGAAGACATTAATAGGAAAGAAGCAGTTGAAGTAACTCAGCTCATTTATCATGCATTAACTCTTATATTGACGAGACTCTTGACCACTTTTAAGATCTCTGTGACTCATAATTAGCTGAATGCATCTGTGAAGATTTTCCATCACTGTCATTTTTAACATGTCTGACCTAATTAAACCTTTCAGACATAGAGCTCTTTCCTTCAAATCCATATACATATGAATTTTGATCCATTACCTAAAAAGTGAAATAAATTACCCCATGTTAGAAAGCATACTTTTAACCCAAGTTCTTTTTTTTTTTTTTTAACTGTTGGTTTTTGGGGGGTTTTTTTTAGTTTATTTAAGTAATCTCTACACCCAACGTGGAGCTCAAACTCGTGACCCAGAGATCAAGAGTCATGTGCTCTTCTGAGCCAGCCAGGTGACTAACTTAAGTTCTAAAAGTAGAGATACTCATTTACAGAGTTTATACCATGTGCTAGAGACTCTATTAGAATAGATATGTATATATGCACAATTTTCTCTCATTTTATTCACCATAACCTTTTAAGATAGCCTTTATTCCCATTTTACAGACGAGGACAATGAGACCAAATAAATAATTTAATGTCATACAGTTTGTAATAAAATCAGGACTCAGATGCACACCTGTAAGACTACACGGAGGACAGGCTTTCCAGTCTACCAATGGCTTGGTTGTGAGGTACAGCCTAGGAATTGGATTAGGCTGTTTAGAGTGTGCTTCGGAATCATCTGGATGTCTTGTTAAAACAGATTGCAGGGCCCATCCCCAGAGTTTCTGATGAACTAGAACTAAGGGCCCGAGAATTTGCATTTCTGTCAAGTTCCCAGGTGATGCTGATGGTGCCGGCCTGGTTCTACACTTGGAGAACTCTTAGACCATACCATTCTAGGGCCTCTTTATGCTCAAACAACTACCTAAAAGTCTTGTTCTGTGGCTTACACGTCTGCTGGCATACAGGTTCTTTTTGAACCATAATATATACCTTTGAGCCAATACGGAAACATAAAGAACAGTCTAGAACAGATTTATACCCTGCCCTTACTTCCTCTCTCCCATCTTGTTCAAAATGTTCACATACAGCGGTGCCTGGGTGGCTCAAATGGTTAAGCGTCTGCCTTCGGCTCAGGGCATGATCTCAGAGTCCTGGGATTGAGCCCCGTGTCGGGTTCCCAGCTCAGCGGGGAGTCCGCTTCTCCCTCTCCCTCTGCCTCTCTCTCAAATGAATAAATAAAATCTTAGAAAAAAAAAATGTTAACATACTTTTTCTACACTAATCTAGCATGCCTTCCTAGTTCAGTATCATATATAGGGTTGATTTTTTTTTTTTTTTTTTACACAAAAATGTACCTCATGTCCTATTATCATTTTGTTAACTTGGTGATGATGAGGGGGGAAACTCCACTAACAATGACAAAAGGAATATTCAGTCCACTCTTTAAATAATCAACTTAGGGAGAAGTACAGTCTGAAAAATCATCATTTAAAGGAAAAATCACAAGGATTATTTATGACATGAGACCAGGAACACCCATGATGGGAAGATGTTCATAAAGTAATTTATAGGGACCTGAGCTTCTCCCATGTCTCTCTCTGCCAAGGTGATCCAGCCATGCTGCCCAGTAGCTAGATCTGCACTTGTAAGTGGGTTGGTCAGTTGTCAAAAAACCCTACCTTTTACCGACTTTGTGAGTGTGTCTGTAGCTTGTACGCTGTCAGAATTACATGTTGACCCATCAGCTCTGTGGGTCTCTGTTCTCGCCTCTAGCCACTGAAAGATTCCCCTTCAGGTTCCTGTTTGGGATCTAAGATTTTGATGGTATGGCTCAGGGATAAAGAAAGAATTGTTTATTTTTAGTAAGGGTAAACAGAAAAATATAATGGCTTTCTTAATGTTTAGACGATCATCAGTCATTCACCAAGTACCTGTGTAAAATAATTAGACCCATCACTGCCATCTAAAAACTTAATGGCTAGGGCGCCTGGGTGGCTCAGTTGGTTAAGCGACTGCCCTCGGCTCAGGTCATGACCCTGGAGTCCCGGGATCGAGTCCCACATCGGACTCCCTGTCTGCTTCTCCCTCTGACCCTCTTCCCTCTCGTGCTATCTCTCATTCTCTCTCTCTCAAATAAATAAATAAAATCTTTAAAAAATAAATAAAAATAAAAACTTAATGGCTAAATAAATTACAACCAAGAAATATGGAGAAGATAGAGACCAGGGTTGTTAACCTTAATATGAAAATCTGATCAACAGCTTTTTAGACCATCTCTCCAGGAAAATGTACATACAGCTCTCAATTTCCTACAGTTTCAGCTGGTATAGGACCCCAGTGGGCCCTGGGGAAGAGCTCCTGCCATAAATAGTTCAAATGGTGCACAATGAATACATGTTCCATTATCAGACAAGGGCAATTACCTGGGCGTGGCCAAGTCTCAAAAACAAAAAACAAAAACTACAAAAGTCTCACACTTGAGCAGCAATTTGACTAAAATCCCTATACGTTCTGAAAGTTCCTGTGTAATGGTCCCTCCTCCCCTGAGAAATAAGCCTGTGACTGAGAAGAGCAATGATTCTTGCCCATTTCTGTTCTGGTCGGGGCAGTGAGGATCCGAGGGGCACAAGAGGTTCTAAGAAACCACGCGCTTGAGCAGAATTGCCTGATTTTTTTGTGCTGAAGCCAGGGCACAACATTGCCACCTCAACAAAAACAGCTCAAGAGACATCCAGCTGAGCTTCTAAGATGCAGTCCCCTCCACGTCCAGTCAGCCCTGGGGGGACTACCACAGGGCCTTCCCGACGTTAACAAGTGAAAGGCTCGTGCTCGACTACTGTAACCGAGTCTTCTGTTCAAATACATTTAAAATGTGTTCATTCTACTGCTTCCTTTGCCATCCCCTGCCCACCATCATTTTTCTCTTTGTTCTTACAGACAGACAGCACCATCCGGCCTGGGGTCACAAGTACAGTTCAATGTGGAGGTCCTCTGCCAAGAGCTGACGGCTAACATAATGAAATTAGAAAAGGTGACTCATTTATTTCCTGGGTTGGGGCGGGAGCCATAGTGCATCTTGACGGCCAGAGAGCAGGGATTATGCACGCAAACACCTTCAGGGTGTAGCAAGCAGCCTCCGTGACCAAAAACCCAGCCAGGGGATGTCACAGTAAATCGGAAAGAGTATTTTTTTTTTATGTCCACCAAGAAATTGGTTTCAGTCTCATTCTCCTTATGGGTGTGTCTTTGGCTTTTCCTCCTTAGTTAGAAAGATTTCTGTCTACCACAAGGGCCCGGTGGCCAGTGACTGCTGACATGGGGCCCGGTGGAGGCACACAGCCGGCCCCACCCAGGCTGATGGTTGCCATACGTGAAATACTGTGTTCAGTCTCTGTAAGAACCCTGCCAGATGGATGTCACTCTTCTGACAGACAAAGAGTCCAGTAACTGGCTCAAGGAGACATGCAGAGAAAGCTGGCAGATCTGGAATTTGAACCAGGTCGGATTCCAAAGTTGTGCTTGCTGCTCCTCACAGTCCAACCTGAGGCCCTGTCAAGAAAGCCACTGATGTACCTTTACCCTCTAGAAGTATCTAACAGTAGGGCAGGTCTCGAGCAAATCTGTCCTGAAGCCTGTGTCATTCTTCAAAGCCAGGAGGAAGGCGGACAGGAAGATGGACACAGGAGAAATGGCCCAGAGTTAGACCTAATTAACATTTCTTCACTTCTCCTTCCAGTGTATGTCTAGCTCTTCCATCTGGTGGTTTGTTTCTGCCCTAAACCTTAAGGAAAGGTTTCAAGTGCAGGGTTCAGTTCAAACTGTTACCACAAATGCCCAGCATGTGGTGGCTTCCCCTAACAGTGTACTCATGATTACTCGGTAAGAACCATGAAATACAGGGGCGCCTGGGTGGCTCAGTCGGTTGAGCGACTGCCTTCGGCTCACGTCATGATCCTGGAGTCCCGGGATCGAGCCCCACATCGGGCTCCCTGCTCAGCGAGGAGTCTGCTTCTCCCTCTGACCCTCCCCCTGCTTGTGTTCCCTGTCTCGCTGTGTGTCTTTCTCTGTCAAATAAATAAATAAAATCTTTAAAAAAAAAAAATGTGAAATACAAATGAGCCAGATGAGGTTGGTTTTGCTAAGACTAAATGGTAGTTAGCATTCAGCTACTGAAGTACTGAGCTCCAAGGAGTTTCCAAAGTTCAGTTCTAAACCAAAGGATGACCTAGAATTCCTATTGAACCTGTGGACAAACTTGGAAACTTTTTCTTTTTTTAACTCAAAATCATCCTAGAGAAGGTCGGGTGTAGGCACCCAAAGTGTTTTCTTTTCTAAAATGTGAGTTGCTGAGAATTGAAGAGAATTTTTTTACGTTTCATGACATGCTTACAGATGTTTGGTTTCTGGGCGTCTGTGTGGCTCAGTCTGTTAAGGGTCTGCCTTTTTGCTCAGGTCATGATCTCAGGGTCCTGGGATAGAGCCCCGCATTGGGTTCTGCGCTTAGTGGGGAGCCTGCTTGAGATTCTCTCTCTCCCTCTGCCCCTCCCCCAACTCATGCTTGTTCCCTCTCAAATAATATATATATTATATATATATATATACACACATATATATATATATATATATAAAATCTTTCTTTTCTTCCATGGGGTTCCCCACTCCCATCACAGTATTGCTTGTTGAGAATTCCTTGCTCAGAATTCTTGAAAGTTCACTTACTCAACAAACATCTACTGAGCACATTTTTGATGCCCACCACTGTACTGTAGTCTCGAGATCCAAAGATACGTCACGGACCCTGGGCCTTGAAACTCAGTCTTCTGGGAAATGGGTAATATCTAGTAGGAGTGTTAAACACTGATGGTTTGAATCAGACACCACATGACACACAGGCTCTGCAAGGATCGGTTTCCCATTATCTCTGCATTTAGGTCACACTTGGTGTTGCCAAGGCTTTGTTCTTTTCCTTCCATCTGATTTCTCTTGGTCTCTCCCGACACTTTCATCTTTGTGCCACTCTTTTCATATTTAGCCCTTTTTTTTTTTTTTCCATTTTAAAGTGTATTATCAACGGAGTTGGGATCCATTAAGCAGCAATTGCCTCATCTAAACTGAACCCAGGGGGTGGCTTTTTTTTTTTAAAGAAAGATTTTATTTATTTGACAGCGAGAGCAGGAACACAGGCAGGGGGAGTGGGAGAGAGAGAAGCAGGCTTCCCGCGGAGCAGGGAGCCCGACGCCGGGGCTCGATCCCAGGACCCCGGGATCATGACCTGAGCCGAAGGCAGACGCTTAAGGACTGAGCCACCCAGGCGCCCCAGTGGCTTTTTATTCAAGGTAGAATAGATTAATCTCAAACATTACACAGGTCATGGCAAATGGGCCCTTGACAGACTCCATTCTATTTAGTAACAGGAACTTCTCTCTCATTATTTCCAGATACAAAACAACCTACAGAAGCTGCTTGAGAATGGTGACTGACAGACTGGATCGTTCAGGCCAACATGATACCTCGCGCTTCCCCTTGAAGAAGGTGTTCCCCTCGGCGTTCTGGCGGAGCGCTCCCTGCTGGCCAGAGGAGCGGACAGACGGGCATCCCCAGCCATGTTTGCACTTGAAGGTCTCCAGCTCAGGAAGGGGTGGGGGCGGGATAATTCTGGTTCCTGTGCAATAAACATTGACCCGCTGTCTCTGAGGAAGTTCTCAGTGCTGCTGCCTGAACAACACAGACCCATCTCTGGAGGTCTCAGGACAGGCCTGGTGGACACTCATTCGGATGATTGTGGTTCCACAGTTCTCGTGACTGTGTCAGCAAACACACTCCACTCCGTGCCTTCTTAGTCCTTTCTGTGCTCCTTTTCTCTCCTTTACACCCCTCTGAACCAGCCTTCGAACTAAGGGATAGATCATGTGCCAAAAACCTGATACGGTCCTTTCAAGAATTAGCCCTGACTCTTCCAAAACAGACTTGCCTCAAACAAACACCAGCATTTTTTCTTTTCCGCTCTTCTGCTGTTCTGTTCTGCTTGAAATCACCCTGTGTATCTTCTCAATTCAGGACAGGCAGGAATACCACAAAGCAGATTAAAGATATCCTGTTTATGTTTTGTTTTGTTCCTATAACTAATACTTAATTGGACTGTTCGTCACCCACCCCAGATCAAGAATCTATGACCACATGTGACAAGTACTAAATTAAACTTACTCTGAAACCAAAACTAATCTTTAAACCAAAAAGTACAATATGATTTGATACTGGATGAAAAACACTGATTTTTTAAGTTTATAGGTGGACTATGTTATAGTTTTGAAACCGGATGCCTATATGGAATGCTGAAACCCCTCTCAGCATGACAAATGCATGCTTCTCTCTTTTGCTGACTAAAAGAAGTAACTGGTGGTTTCCTAACTTCTATGTACCATATGGGATGGCTGGTTTTTATTAATAATTATTTAGGTACCATAAGATCTGTAATATAAATGATATTCTGTTTCTATTGGCGATGCATTTTATAATCATTTCTATGAAATGTATTTTGTTTAATCAGTTAAGCTAATAAATGAATTGGTTACATCTTTTGTATTTGTTAGCCTGCTGGACAAGAACTGTGCCTGGTGCACCCCGCCCCCCCCGGCTTTTAATAAATACTCACTGGTTAAAATGCCCTGCTAACACTGTGTTTTGTCAGTTTGTAAACTCTTTTAACTAAGACAACATGGCCTTTTTAACTGCATCTCACCTCCTCTCTACTACTTCCAACTACCCATACTTCTCTCCTCCCAAGTATCCATTTCAAAACTCAAAAATGATCTAAATTCTGGGGTGGCACTGATACAGGGGAAAGAAAATGAACTTTGAAATCAGAAAAATAATGCTTTATTCCTGGGTCCACATTTTATGAGTTATGTCACCTGAAGACTTTTGGCCATTTTCCCCCATTTTATTTATGTGACTAAAAGTACCAACAAAAAATGTCATTGGGAGGATCAAACGTGATGATGTCTCTAGAGCACACCAGGGTCACGCGACTAGTACACTCTCATAACAAGGGCCATATTCGTTATTTTTAGAAATGTTGTCCGACATTCCAGTTCCATAAAAGTTGTGTGTCAGTATAGGGATTCAAGAATGGGTAAGCCACCTATATAGGGAAATTTCACAATGTATGAAAAACTTTAAAAGGTTCAAATTTCACAGCCAAGGAAACAAATCTAAAAGGCAACCTTCAGAATAGAAGATATTTGCAAATGACACATCCGATAAAGAGTTAGTATCTAAAAAATACAAAGAACTTATACCAAAGTTCTTATAAAGAACTTTGTCCCAAAAACAAATAATCCAATTAAATGGGCAAAAGACATGAACAGAAATGTCTCCAAAGAAGACATCCAGATGGCCAATACACATGAAAAGATGCTCAACATCACGGACCATCAGGGAAATGCAAATCAAAACTACAATGAGCTGTTACCTCACACCTGTCAGAATGGCTAAAATCAAAAACACAAGAAACAAGTGTTGACGAGGATGTGGAGGAAAAAGAACCCTCTTGCACTGTTGGTGGGAATGCAAACTGATGCAGCCACTCTGGAAGACAGTATGGAGGTTCCTCAGAAAGTTAAAAATAGAACTACCCTATGATTCAGGAATCGCACTACTGCATATTTGCCCAAAGGATACAAAAACACTAATTCAAAGGGATATATGCACCCGTTTGTAGCAGCATTATTTACGATAGCCAAATTTTGGCAGTAGCCCAAGTGTCCACTGAAAGATGAAGTGATATATAGACAAATATAGATAGTGATAGATGAGATTATATATATATATAAAATTGTGTGTATACATAACAATGGAATATTATTCAGCCATAAAGAAGAATGAAACCTTGCCATTTGAGATGACATGGATGGAGCTAAAGGGTATTATGCTAAGCAAAATAAGTCAGAGAAAGACACAATTGTATGATTTCGCTCATATATGGAATTTAAGAAATAAAAGAACAAAGGGGGGGAAAAACAGACTCTAGAGAACAAACTGATGGTTACCAGAGAGGAGGTGGGGGGGGTGGGGGGTGACCTACGTGATGAGGATTAAAGAGTACACTTACCAAAAAAATAAAATGTTTGAATTTCAGGAATTAGTAATCTGCTCTCTAGAAATTTATCCTGAAGCAATAAGCAGAAATCTAGTCTAAGATTTATATGCAAGAATATTCTTTGAAGAATTATGACAGCAAAATATTAGAGATTCTAAATATTCAATAACAACAATTAAATGATACAACTATTTAGAACTGTATTGTCAAAGAATGGCATTAAAAATACCATTAAAGGGGCGCCTGGGTGGCTCAGTCGTTAAGCATCTGCCTTTGGCTCAGGTCATGATCCCAGGGTCCTGGGATCGAGCCCCACATCGGGCTCCCTGCTCAGCGGAAAGCCTGCTTCTCCCTCTCCCACTCCCCCTGCTTGTGTTCCTGCTCTCGCTGTCTCTCTCTCTGTCAAATGAATAAATAAAAATCCTAAAAAAAAAAAGTACCATTAAAAAGGGAGGCACAAAACCATATGATATGATCCCAATTTTGTGAAGAAATTCCTACATGTATGTGTATATACACATATATATACACATGGAAGCACACACACATTGACCTTTTCTATATTCTCTAAATTTGGTAGAATGAGCAGTTACTACCTTTTTTTAATCAGAGAAGTTGATTAAAAACATTAAGTGACTCTCGGCAGGGAATGAGATCTTACAATTGTGCCCACCCTGCCCAATAACACTGACCCTAGTTCTGTACCAGGAGCGACTTCATCAGTGGTTTTTCCAAATCCACTACAGTGTTTTCCAAAGAGAGAGAATTTCTAAATTTAGTGACTATTTTTGCTCTGGGTATGCTGTTACTTGTTTTTTTTGTTTTGTTTTGTTTCTCGTTAGTAGCTCCTAAGTCTAAATCTGGTACAGATGAATCTGAATGATGATGCCCAGGTCATATGTCTGCATATTAACTCCAAAGAAGCATGGGAAAGCAAGCATCTGGAATTTTTCAGCCTCTACCACCTAGATTAAAAAAGCAGGGAATTCTAAAGTAGAAAAGAGTTTCAGATGTTGAGTAGTCAAAATAACAGCAAATGTCCACCATATGCCTTGCCCTTTAAAAACTTTAGCATTGCCTTTCTAGAATCAGGAAAAAAAAATCTTAAGAAGAGATTAACTGGTTGAAATTCTATTTCTGTGCATCCTAATATTTTCATCTGGGATGAAATATATACTATTTGGATGAATGGAAATCACCAGTCTCACATAAACTGAAAATGCTATTACTATTGACCTCTCAAGCTTTGTGAATCTTTAAGATACTTTCCTACATAGACTCTACAACACTCCAAGGCATTTCCCAGGTATTCATTTATGCAATTCTTCGAAACCATCCCAGACACATTTTTCTTTAAGATTTTATTTTTACATAATCTCTACACCCATGGTGGACCCCAAGAGTCTCATGCTCCTCCAACTAAGCCAGCCAGGCACATTTTTTTTGTCTTCCACAACTCATCCTAATTCAAAAATTCATGGCATCAGATTGAAAATTTTCCAACTTAAATGTGAATTTTCTCTTCTTATGTGTTTTTTTTTTTATGTATCCTAATAGTGAAATTCAGGTGATGCTCTCCTTGTTTATCTGTTTGTTTCTGGTGATCTAAAGGTCATGGACACTAATCAGGTAAGTTTTGCTCTCAAGCATTTTTTTTTCAAGATTTTATTTTTAAGTAAAAATACACCCAACGTGGGGCTTGAACTCACAACCCTAAGATCAGGAGTCATATGCTCCACCCACTGAGCCAGCCAGGCACCCCTCAAGCATTTTTTTAAGTCAAAATTCTACACACAGGTAATAGTTATGCTGTCATTTGGGATCCATAACCTGATCTTCTCACAAAGAAGCCCAGTGGTATAATATTCTTTTTATGTGCTTCTTTTAAGGCTATCCCTACCAATAATGATAATTTTACCAGTCCTTGATTAAACCAAAAAATTAGAGACATTAAATGAAGCATCTTTGACCACTGAGTTTCTACCATTCTTTGTTTAGAAATGTTAAGCCTTACCAGAGCAATCTACAGGTTCAATGCAATCCCCATCAAAATTCCAATGCCATTTTTCACAGAAATAGAACAGTCCTAATATTTGCATGAAATCACAAAAAAAAAAACCAAACAGCCAAACAAGGCATCCTGAGAAAGAACAAAAACAGAAGCATCATGCTCCCTGATTTCAAACTATATTATGAAAACTATAGTAATCAACACAGTATGCTATTAGAATAAAAACAGATATATAGATGAATGGAAAAGAATAGAGAGCTCAAAAATAAACCCATGCATATATGGTCAACTAATTTATGACAAAGGAGCCAAAAATTTATCATGAAAATAGCAGTGTTTTCTTTCAATAAATGGTGTTGGAAAAACGGGACAGCCCCATGCAAAAGAATGGAAATGGACCTCTATCTTACACTGTACACAAAAATCAACTCAAAATAGATTAAAGACTTGAATGTAGGAACTGAAACCTAAAATTTCTAGAAGAAAACATAGGCGGTGTGCTCCTTGACATTGGTCTTGGCGATGCTTTTTAGGATCTGACATCAAAAACAAATACCATAAAAGAACAAATAAACAAATGGGACTCCATCAAACTAAAAAGCTTCTACACAACAAAGGAAACCATCAACAAAATGAAAAGGCAACCTACTGAATAAGAGAAAATATTTGCTAATCATATATCTGAGAAGGGATTTAGTCAAAATATATAAACTCACACAACTGAATAGCAAAACAAACAATGTGATTAACAAATGGACCGAAGAACTGGACAGACATTTTTCCAAAGACATACAGATGACCAACAGGGTATGTGAAAAGATTCTCAATATCACTCATCATCTGGTAAATGCAAATCAGTATCACAATGAGCTACCACCTCTACCTGTTAGAATGGCTATTATCAAAATGACAAGAGATAGTAAATGCTGGCTAGGACA